CCCACCCACGCCCTGCCGCCCACGCACCCCTGCGCATGCAGGCCGTGGATCGGCTGTACGATAGCGAGGAGGAGCCCACGCCCAAGGCCTCGGTGCTTGGCACCGTGCGGCGCATGTTTGGGCGGGGTGAGCGGGGCCATGTGTGTGTGTATATGTTGTGTGTGTCTGTGTGTGGTGAGGTGGCAGCTGTGCAGTGTGTGGTTTGGTGTGTGGTGAGGTGGTTTGTGTGACTGGCTCTGCTGGCGGCCCGGTGCAGCCCGCCTGCCCGCGCTGTGCCTACATGCGCGCATGACTCCCCACACACCACTCAGGCCCTCGCCACCGCCCTTCCCGCCCCCTGCGCGCAGCCCGCAACGCCACGCCGCCGCTGCCGCCGGGCACCACCGCCCGCCAGCTGCACGCCACCTTTGGGTGAGCGCCTTGCTTGCTTGCCTGCCTTGCTGAGCCTACCTGCGTGCCGGCCTGGGCCGGCCGGCCCGCCTGCCTGGCTGAGCCTGGCTGCCTGTCTGAAATTTCCCGCCTGCCAGCCTGCCTGCCGCTGCTTCCCTTGCACCGCCGCGGGCCCCGCCACCTGCCGCTGACCCCGCTCGGTCCCCCCGCTCAGCTGCCTGCCCAAGCCCGGGCGTGGTTACCCCCAAACCTGATGGTTCTGTGGTCTCCCCTGGCCCCGACCTGCCCTCGGCGCCCTCTCCTCTGCTCTCCCTGCAGCACCCCGGCCCCCACCCCACCCAAGCGCGCCCCCGCTCCGGCAGAGGTGGCGACCATCGACCGCGAGAGCAGCAGCTCCACGCTGCGGCGAAGGTGGGCCCGCCGCGTTGCCGGGGTGGCACAGCCTGCAGGCTCGGTGTCTAGAGAGGGTGTTGGGGAGGCAGGTGGCGGCTGGGACCCGGCGGGGGCGGGCGGGTGGCGGATGCAAGCGGTGGTGGTGTGGGCGGGAGGGCTGAGTGCGTGCCTCCTCCCCTCACTCGTGCGCCTCCGCTGGCCCACCCAGCCAAGCCCCTCCGCCGCCCTGCTGCCACGCCCAGCTTACCTCTACACAATGTGGACGGCAGTCGCTGCCCCCTAGCACTCGTGCTTGCACGCTCGCCTGACAAACAGTGCATCCCACCCTCTCGCCCGCCTCCCCTCCCCTCCTCACCCCACCACCCGCCCCGCCGCCGCCCCCAGGTGCAAGCTGCTGCTTGCGGAGCGGGACGAGGCGAGGGCGGAGGGGTATGCCGAGGCGGCGCTGGC